AATCCAAATTTCCCTCCGCTAAACTTTTTCCCGCTGATAAGAAGTCAGGTACCTCACCCAGCGAGGATGCAAAAACTTCAGCAGCGGTAAACAAAACAAAACAAAACCAAACCAAAAAAGAGAAGGAGCGATTTGCGGGTTTCCAGCAATTCCACGCGAACACAACTTTTAAAGCCGAAAAGCTGGAAACGTTCGCCCGGGCTCTCGGGATTTTGGGAATGCCTTTTTTTTTTTTTTTTTAAGGGTTTTCTTTGTTAAAGATTAAGGACCGAAAGCTACCGCGGTTCCCAGGCAGCGGGGGAAACGGCCACTTTTCATCTATTAAAAGCGAAGGTGTGAATAAACACTTTTAAAGATCCCTGACACTTGCTTGGACCGAAAGAGTAAAAGGCAAGTTGTCAGCAGAGGAACTTTCTTTCCCAACCAGCTCTCGGACGGCGGCAGGCAAATTAGGCAAGAAAACGTCTTTCCAGGGTTTTTCTCCTTCCCCAAATCCCTGTTCACCCGACTACAGCTGATTTATTTTTTTTCTCAAAACTCCAATTTAGGAGGTAGTTAGAAGAAAAGGAAAAAAAAAAAAGGGATCGCACCCAAAATAGAAACAACAATACACATGGCAGTGAATGCTGGTAACCTCCAATTCAAATTAAAGTCACTTTCTTTCCAAAAGAGTGGGGGGAGTTTGCCCTCTGCACTGCACCTTTTGGGACAGAATACATTTAAAAAATAAAATAAAAATAAAGAGGGTTGAGTAAAAAAGCAGGTAAAAGAAGGGAAAAAAAAAAAAAAAAGTTGTGCTTACTCCCAGCCAGAACTTATCTTCTGAAAGTGAAGCGGTATATCATCACTAACACAGCAAAATGCTCAAAGACATGCACACATTCAAATATTTCAAGCACTGGTAATATTAAAAAAGACATTGGTAGGACTAGAGCTACAAAACCAACAAATACAGAGGCTCGGACATATTCACTTACATGCCTGCATGTCATTAATGTATAGAAAGCTTGCCTCTTCCCTGAGAGCTCCGGGATGGGGAGTAAAAGAATCAAGAAAACAGCAATATACACAGGTTTAAAGCCTACAAGTACAACTGATAAATCCTCCCGCTGCAGGACACCGCTTTGTGCCCCTACTCCAGAAAGGAGGGGGGGAAAAAAAAAAGAAAAAAAAAGAAACTTTTTTTGCAGCGTCTCTGTCAGCCACGTTTCAATATTATTTCACATTTGAAATCCATTTTTTTTTAATCATACGTACCCTTTGCGCCATCGGCCTGCTTGCTCCCTTCCTACTTCAACTTCTAATATATCCTCTTTAAGGCCAGTGTGAAAAGAAAGAAACACGAAGTTCCCCCCCCTCACCCCCAAAAAAAGGCAAAAATCCCTTAGCGTCTCCAGCAATGGAAGCAAACGAGTAAAATCTTCGGCTTGCTGGATCTCAGCGAAGCGATACGGTAACTCAGCATTAAAAAAGGAGAAAAAAATTTAGAAGAAAAAAAAAACCAACTCTCCCTCCTTCCTTCCTTCTTTTTTCTTTCTTTCTTCCCTCTCTCCCTGTCTCTCTCTCTTACTCTCCCCCTCTCGTTTCCAAGACAGCAGCGGGGCGAAAGCAAATATCCTTTCCCCAAATCAGTTTTTTTTTTTCCTCTCTCTCTCTCTTTTTTTTTTTTTTTTTTTTTTTTTAAAGTGCCCCTCAAACCCAACTACCAAGTCTCATGGCTTTTTGCCACTCCGGCTGTCAATCACAGGCGAGGTTGTCAAGGTGGTGAATGACTGATGATGATCCGCTGCGTGTGCTCCCACCGCGCAGGACACCGCGAATGTTAATTTTCGAGTGCGCTCACCCAAAAAAAAAAAAAAAAAAAAAAAAAAAAAAAATTTAGAAAAAAAGAAAAAAAATTTAAATCGAGGGAAGAGGAGAAGGAGGGGGAAAAAATTAAAAATTAAAAAGGCTCTCTAACGCGCCGGCTCTCCTTTTATTATGGTTATTATGATGATGATGATGATGATGGGGGGCTTTTTTTTTTTCGCTCCTCCTCGGATCGCTCCTAATTCCTCGCCGGCGCCGGCTCGCTCTGCCCCTGCGCGGCCGCCGGGCGAGGCTGGCGGAGGCGGGCCGGGCGCGGGTGCCGTGCGGGGCGGGCGCGGGAGGAAGGGCAGCGGGGCGGGATGGCGGGGNCGCCGCCCCGCGCCGCGCCCCCATTGGTCCGGGCGGGAAGCGGGGCTCGGACCGGCGCGCCTGGGGGGGGGCACCCCCCGGCCCCGGCCCCGTCCCGGTGCCCGTCCCCATCCTTATCCCCATCCCTATCCCCATCCCCTCCGCCGAGCTTTGCCGGCGCGCTGTCCTGCGCGGGGCGATCCCCCCCGCCGGTGCCTCCATCCGCCGAGCCGGGGGTCCGCTCCCTTGCGTTCAAAAGCACAGCCATCCCTCCCCGCAGCCCCGCCAGCCCCCGGCCTGGGAGCGGAGAACTCGCAGTGCCCCTTCCTCCCCTACCTGCGGGCCGGGCTGCGCCGAGCCCCGAGCGGGCGCTTGCGGGGTCAGCTGCCCCGACACTATCGCATCTTCCGCCCGGGCAGCGGGGCGGGAGACGGAGAGCCCGCGGTACAGCGGACTGAGCTGCTGGGGGAACGGGGAGTGACGGGGGGGCTCCTCTGGTAAATCCCCCGGGACAGACGGGACGCTGCTCCTCTGCTGCCGGACCGCCGGGGGCGGCGGGCAGCGGCTCGGCCCCCGCCGCCACGTCTCAAACTTCGGGGAAAAGCGTTTCGATCCCCCCCTTCCCGCCCCTTTTCCGCTAGGACCGGCTTTTTATCCCGGCGAGAGAAATCCAGACCTCTCAGGTAAGAGCCGTTTTCATGCACTGACCCCCAAAACAAAAAAAACCCCAAAAGACCCTTTTTCAGCATCTCCACTAGGCCTTTATGAGCTTAATTCAGCGCAACTCAGCCCGAAACACTTTTACAATGTAATTACAGCCCTACAAATTGTTTGCCCAAACCTCATCCTGGATAAGGATTTTACAATTAGCAAACAGTTATTACTCTTAGGGCTCGCTGTGAGGAACTACTCTGCTCGCCTCTCCGCCTGTGAGAGGCCGGCCAGAAAAAAAGAAAGAAAACTGGAAAAAAAAAAAAAAAAAAAAAAAAAAAAAAAAAAAAAAAGGGGGTTAAGTCCGGACAGCAATTAATCATCTATTAAACGGGAAAAAGTAAACGGCCAACTCCGCGCTATCCCGGTAAACTCCTGCCGCGGCGGATGCGCTGCGCTGCAGCGGCACCCGCGCAGCATCTCACCCAGCCGCCTTTTTAGGAAAGCAACTCTGTTTGGGCTTTTTTGTTGGTTTGGTTTTTTTTTTTTTTTTCCTTTCCTCCAAAAACTTGCTGGTTTGCGGGAATCTATTTAAGCTTGTCCATCGCCTGGTAGAAAGGATGAGGGGCGGGGGGAAATACGGATAGGGGAAAAACAATAAGGAAGGAGCGAGAGGGTCTGGTGGGTGCGGCGGGCCGGGCAGCGGCCTCGCTGCGGAGCGCGGAGCTCTGCGCGCTCCTACGCGCTGCTGCGCGGCGCCCCCAGACCGCGGCTGGGCCTTTGGCGAAGGGATCCACCGAGCTGAGGCAAAAAAAGGCGTCTGGGGAGCAAGGAAGCCTCCTCCACAAGGTGGAATCTGGGTCCATTTGCTTATCGGATAATAAATGAGGCTTTTAATCAGGCTGAATTTCCCAGCTTAAGGAAAGAATTAGTCATACCTAGGAACAATCAAATGGTTTCTAGCTGGCTTCCCTGCCGCCTTCCTAGCAGGGATTTAGGAGGGGAGGGGGGCGGAGGAACGGGGGGAGAATTAGCATCCAAGTGTGCTCTTTCACCATTAATACTGAAATTTGAAAACTGAAATAGGAACAACCAGAAGAGCGAAGCAAACAAGAAACCGCAGAAGAAAGCATTGGAAAGGCGGCCGGGCGATAATCCAGGAATGCTTCAGATAAGGAAGGGGGGACTATACGTGCGTAGATACCCGAAAAGTCAGAGCCTGATGGAAAGGCTGAAAGAGGGACGGGGGGTGGGGGGGAAACCCGCACTTGTTTCGAGCCTATTAAAGGTCACCTCGGGCTGGGGGGTGGGCTGCGGGTGATGATAAAAGGAGTTTAAGAACGAGGGGTTTAAGCGCGCAGATGAAGAGCAGCGCCAGGATTTGGGGGGTTTGTTTACTGGCTCCCGATGCAGAAAACAAAAGAGCGGCGGGTCCGTGCGGAGAGTCAGCCCGAGGTCAGCCGGGGCTGCCCTGCGCCCACCGCCGGCACAGCTCGGGCCCCGGGTGCCGCGGCCGCCCGGCGCCCCGGGAGTCCGCGGGGCCGGGGAACGGGAGCTGCCCGCTGCCCCACGGCCGGGCCTGACGCTTGCAGAAGTTATGGAGAGGTTTGATCAATTAAATGGAGGGCTTCATAAAATATTTCCTAATAAAATTTACGGTTGTCTTAAAAGTTTCCAACAGAGCTATCTTTTTTTTTTTTTTTTTTCACCTTAAATAAAATTAACTGGGAAATGAGTTACTGGCCCGGATTTTCGAGATTTCAACGGTGACAGCAGTGCCGGCGGCGGGAGTGAAGGCAGCCGTACACAAAAGGAGTCTTTCAGGGACAAAAGTTGCGACGGCTGCCAGGTTTTCCCCGCGGTGGCACCTCGGGGTAGCCCGGGCAAGGCAGCTCCGAGCCGACCTGAGCCTTGCGCTTCCTACTTCACAGTATAAATAGAACATTTCAGCCTAAAAACCGTAGACTAACATCTGAGCTGGTAACACCATCGTGTTGGGGTTGTGGAAGGGTTTTTTTCTTGTACGGTTTGGGTTCTACAAGTTCATTTGGGTTAATTTGGAAAGGCTGCTCCGCGCCGGGGTTCGCGACGATCCCTGCCTTTAGCCCGTTCGCCCCCCGGCATTCCTGTATTCCCTGCCTATGCCAAACCCTCTTCCTTTCCTGTCGATATTCCTATACTTCTCGTTGAATTAAATAATAATAACAATAAAAGAAATTGCTGGATAAAACCGCGGCTGCTTAATTAAAAAAAAAAAAAATTAGGAAAAAAAAAAGAAAAAAAGAAAAAAAAAAAGCCGCTGGGCTGCTCTGCATCCCAAGGATTGAGCTGTTGTGCCGTCTACTGGGAGACGGGAAAACTACAGTCAGAAACGCTTTCCAATTTTCTGCGAGAGAAAAGTCCAGTTTTCGGCAGTTTGGAGGGGTCGGAGACGCCCAAGTCCTCAGTAGAAGAATAGCGACCCGAGACAGCAAAGTCGCAGAGACACTTATTTTTTCCTTAGGCTGCACCTGTATAATTGCATAAAAACTCCACTCTTAAGTGTTTAGGGTTTTACTGACTGCAGACCGTGGAGCAATGATATGGTGAAGATGGTTTGAGTTTACCCGTGAGAGGCAGCTGGACATTAACTAAATATGTAGGAAAGAGGAATTTTATTTAAAAAAAAAAAAAAAAGGGGGGGGGGGGAAATATTTGCGAATGGTTTAAAAACTTCTCCCCCCGCGACCAGCCGGCTGCAGCCTGCGGGCGGAGGGAGATCCCAGCTCGGGCAGCTCCCACCCCGATGATGCTCTCGGATCTCGGAGGGCAGCGGAGGCAATCACTTTGATGCCAGTCCTTGGCGGAGCAGCAGGAGCGGAGTTTACGGCGGCCCGGCCTTGGTCTCGGTTTAGAGGAAGCAATGACGTTGCTGTTCTAAGTTCCCGAACCTTTGCCCGTGCCCGAGCCGCGGGTCCTCCTAGGCAGATGCAGCCTAGCTGGGTAATTCTCCTCTCCCCTTTCCCTGCCCACTTGCTTCTCCGCTCCCGTGGCGCCTGGAATGTTCTCCTCAAAAATACAAAGCGCAAGAAGAGATTAAAAAAAAGAGGGAGGGAAAGCTTTTGTTGTTGTTGTTGTTGTTGTTGTTTAAAAAAAAAAAAAACCCAAACCCCAAACTTCTAACATGAGCCCTTGACTTTTATGAGGCGAGAGCCGCAGAAGGGCTGTGAAATGCAAAGTCTTTGTCGTATTTACAGAGAGTGTCAGCAGCCGACTGGACACGCAGATAAAAATCTAGTGGTCTATGTGAACTCCAAGGAATGTTTTAAAGCAAAGATCTCTAAGCGCCTATTCTCAGTCCACACATATGCCCGCACGTAGCCTACAAGGACGGAGACACCCACGTAGCCGAACAATAGTGAGGATTTCTTTTAATGGGTTAAATGAAGGTATAAGCAAATCCTCCTGCCACTTGTGGCACACCAGCTCCGACTGCTCTTTGCCTTCAGAGCCATTTGCCAGAGTTCAACAGAGGGTGACATTAGCCTAAAATATTCGATACTTTTTCTTTTATTCTGGAGACTTTTCCCACTTCTTGTGGGCTAAATTCAGCTCCCAGTTCATCTCTGCGGGTAAAATTGCTGTCTTTGAAGGAAACAAAAATCTGCCTGATCTTTTTAGTTTTATTTTATTTTATTTTAATGAAGAAGGTATTACGGATACTTTCCTCAGCATACATAAACCAGAAATTAAATGATTGCGTGTCTCTGGTGTAAGAAGTCGAAGGACATCTTCTAAAAAGTTGGACGAAGTATTTTACCCTTTCAAGTGAGACTGAAAATACTTGCAACATTGTACAAGAAGCAAATTAGCGAGTAACAACATAAAACCTCAGTTTGAAGTGACATAGATTTGAATATTTGTGTCTGACGGTACCCCGGCTGAACTAGAGCAAAGCGGAGTTTTGTCAGAGCTCTTCGATTTGATGTTTCCCTCCAAAGTAATTTTCACTATTGCTCCGTTCCTATTACCTAAGTCCATCTGCAGCTCGGCTAATGAGCCCATTTACTGCGTTAGTTCGGCGCGCCTCTGATGCCGATCGCAGAGGATGGGCACTCATCAGAGCGGGGATCTGGGGCTATTCAGCCCGGTGGGATGGGAAGGAACCCGGGGCTCTCTGCAGGCTCAGAACTCTCGGAGGGGGCTTCCCGCAAACGATACCATCTAGGAAAAATCGAATGCAAGTCAATTAGGCTTTATAAATTAGAAAAAAACAAAGGAAAATAAGAAGCAGAGCCCTGTGCCCGGGAGCGCGGCGCGGGACGGGGCTCGGGGCGTTCCCGGGATCCCCAGCCCCACCAGCCCGACGGCGCTGGGCACCGAG